CTACTGAAGGATCTTCTGCTGGAAGCAAACTTTCCATTTGAATCTGTCGATAAACTGGATTTTGTTCAAGCTGTTTCCACAAGGTATCAACTTCATTTAATAAACTAAAGCGAACAATATCTATACACAACTCATTTTAGACACTGCGTAGCTGACCTGTTTCTCTCTGAATTTCGAATTTGCTGTACAAATTTATCTCGTGTATCTGTCAATTTTTTTATCAGATCAGCATGCACATGCTTGATAACTTTAATTGTCTCGTTGATTCCATTTTGACCCCGATCTACCACAAGCACAAATATCAGAACTGCATAGATTAGATACGAAATAAATTACTTGCTCTCTCTGCAGCAGTTTCAAGTTTCAATCTTAATGTTTTCCACCTCTCTTCCAATTGTTCATTGCGTTTATTCTGGTGTTTTTCTGCACATACCTGACATTTTGGTTTGTCGCATACGATGCACGATTGCAATTCACGTTTCTCATTACAGGTAAAACAGCGAGCAATAAATTTAGGAATAGCTGACACTTGATCAACATCAATCGATGATTGTTGCTCATCTGTTTTTTTCGGTGGCATGATTTTCACGTTTAAACTCATGTCTTCTGTCTTCTTAGACAGTAGCTTTAATGAATATCGTTAAGTGCTTAGTTGATTACTAAAAAGTCTTGGCGAGAAAGGAAAAACATTCCTACACGAACTCAGTGAGAGATTTATAAAACCTTAAAATTGCTTTCGAGTAACGCTTTTCATCTACTTCATATCTAATCGTATAATAGTCAGCTGATTGTTCTTTTATTGGAGTCGATGAATACTTGAGTCTGCTTTAGCTGATGAGATTTGACTCAGCGGGAGATTTGTGGATGATAGAAAAACAATATCCTGCTTCCCACTCCGATAGAGCCTATTCATTTAATGCAATAGCTGGCGAGACAGATTATATTCTTTCTTATACCTTAATGTCATAATCGGCACTACTTCGAGATGATGAACAGATTGTTGCATTGTTAGAAATTAGACTTTTTCTGCTGCAAGTTTAAAATGCTGTACTCACTGGTTGATAATGTAAATCGAGCCGAATTCTCAAGACAATTTTACCTTATTTTTTATTTATTTCTCGGCTTTTTCTCTTACGAACGCTATATGTAGGTAGTCACAGCAATCTTAACAGAAATAAAGAAAGAAAAATATTGTTGAAAGGCTTTTAACGTAATTATAAACCTTTTAAGTTTTTACTTTTTATTTTCTCCCCAAAATATAGAATAGGATTAATATAAGAAATTTTTTGAATTTATTTAGTAGACAACTGGTTAACTTTTGTACATTCACCAGCTAGGACAAAGGATTCTCTATAGAATGATTAATGTCGGTACTATCTTAACGGGACCATCATGAAGGGCTTGTGTAGCTAACGATCCCCTTTTTCAAGAAAAGTATTACAGTAAACCTACAAACTAATCTAAAATTGCAACTAGATAATTAAGTGGATCAAAAGTTTCATTATAAAATGATAAGTGTCTTGAGCGCTGACTTCGGACAAGCAATTTTTCAGCTTTATTTTGATTATAAATTTGTTCGGTTTATCTCTTTTCTACGATCTGTAAGATGCATTTCAAAACAAGGTGCATTTACATAGGATTTGCCTATAATAACTGAACTTTAATATCCTAGCCAACCACTCAAATCTAGAGACGGACTCGCGTGAAAATTACGTCATATAGACAACTTTTAACGCCCTATCGAATGGCTTACTCAAATCTTTCGAAAGTTGTTTAGGAAAAATAGAACAGATGTTTCCGGGTGGGGATTTTTGATAAAATCGAGTTTTGAGCCCTCTCTCCAGCCATTAGCGCATAATTCCAGCCAAAATTGAATACACATTCTGAGATAACTCGACACGGGCTACAAAACTAGGATACTTAGATCTTGCCAGAAAAATGTTCTGTAAAAAGTGCGCGGACTTGCGTGGAAGTACCCGTCATTTCTGTTTTTAAATTTTAATTTATTTCCAACATCTAAGATATCTATGATTAGGAAATGTATCATCACAACTTATTCTACCAAAATTTTTCGATTTAGAACAACATCAACACTTTACATACTTAATTTAAAACTTTACGATTGTGTATAATTGATAATCATTCAACAAATAGTTGTTATTACAATTTGTTATGTCAAAAAGTATTTTCAAAACCAACATTAAAAACATGTTATTTATTAAAGTGTAGGAATATTCAAAAACTATTATTGACATCTCAAGCTATAGGAATTCCATTTTGAAGGTAGTCGATATACAAATTTATATCCATAGGAATATTTAGACGGACGTCAATGGTCAAATTTATTTCAATATTTTATGCTAATAATGAATAAATTTGAATTAAATTTAAATATGATATGTGCAGATAAAATTAACATTCAGCGTTCTAATATCTGATTTCACAAAATATAACTGGCATTGTTCTATTGAATATGATTGTAATTATGATATTTGGTATATCATATCTAACTTTGTTTTAAAAATTTCGTTACTTAACATTAGTTCTATATCATATTTAAATACGTCCTTTTATTTTTACAAAGGCAACTAACTGCAGCAACAATTTCTTCACTGCTCCTACAGAATACACATATACATAGTCTAAAGATAAGTTCATACGATTATTCAGAAATTGATAACTTAACAGTGCAGTTATTAGCAGGCAGACGAAAACTACAATTCGGCGAGATCTATTCGGAAAAAAAGAACTAGATATGCAACAGTAACCGGTAATTTTTACCGGTAACACGGAACTTACCGCTTGATCGGCAACCTTGTTTACTACTTACCGTTAGTTGTTGGTGTGACAGGATCAAATTTTAGCATAAAAAATTCAATGTCTATTTTTAACTTTAACTTCACTTATTGGCTACAAACTGTCAGTTGGGTTTAACGCTTAATAACTGGTAAGTTAAACTTCTTTTTTCGTTTAGAAATTTGCGTTCAGTGCACATATTTCCTAAATCTATTCTCTAATCCGATTCTAATTAGGCAGAGTAGATCCTAACTTAATAGAATCGCTCATAATCTTAAGAGACGCTCCTAACTCTATAGCAATAACAATAAACTCATTATGTGTGAAATTCACAAAGAAAAGACTCGCGTTCTCTTGTCAGTCGTTTTTCTATTCTATAGAATTATCCTCTCTACCTAATTAGAATCGGATTAGAGAATAGATTTAGGAAATATGTGCACTGAACGCAAATTTCTAAACGAAAAAAGAAGTTTAACTTACCAGTTATTAAACGTTAAACCCAACTGACAGTTTTGTAGCCAATAAGTGAAGTTAAAGTTAAAAATAGACATTGAATTTTTTATGCTAAAATTTGATCCTGTCATACCAACAACTAACGGTAAGTAGTAAACAAGGTTGCCGATCAAGCGGTAAGTTCCGTGTTACCGGTAAAAATTACCGGTTACCATTGCATACCTAATTCATTTTTTTTTAATAGATCTCACCGAAGTGTAGTTTTCATTTGCCTGCTAATAACTGCACTGTTAAGTTATCAATTTCTGGATAATCGTATATATTTATCTTTAGACTATGTATATACTGGTCCAGTATGGTAGTAATACTGGATACACCTTTGACTTCAACCTCGATCAAATATCATTCTCATACTCAGTTTTCAATGTTGAACCCAAAAAAGTACATCGGAAAAAATAGAAGAATAAAAAAAGGAAAAAGTTTGAATTGTTTTACCGGAAGGGTTTTTCAGAATTTGAGATTCTTCTAGTATTTTGAAGATTTTTCATTGAAAAACAAATTTTGTGAAGCTACAATGTAGATAGTCGTGATCAGCGTCAAATTCTGCATCGAATGATCTATAATATATTAGAAAGAAAAATGTTACTTGAATTTTGAGTTATGTGTGCGTTATAAACTCGAACTATGCTCGTAATAAACTTCAGTTTAGTACTATGTTGATGATATTATAAAGTAGTGCTTTTTGCTACTGAAAATATATTAAACTGTACTCCAACTCTGTATCTGTGCTCTTAATCAATGAAATTGAACTGACTTTACTTGCAGGGACGATTTCAAACATTTTCGATGAAACTTCTGTATTCGCGAAATTTCTTAGGTATGCCTAAATGAGGATTATTGCCAAAGCCGATCACTATATCATTTTCTTAAACAGAAAATTTATATTATTTAACTATCGGTTTACCGTTAGATAGACATCAGACGATTAAGTTCTCTGATGTGAAAATTTTGTGAAGCTATTTCATAAAAACGCATCGAGACACAGCTGTTCACAGAAAGCCGTTATGAAACGTAAGAGCAAAATTGAGTATAATTTTTTTACTTGTCAATCAAAAACTAACGTTTTGACTACCAAAAAAAGAACACTAAGATGACATTTGACACGAGCTTAAATCTGTTTTACATTTACAACAATCTCATCAACTTTTTATGCTTCCTCACTTGTGTGTTCGAAAAAAGAAGATCTAAACTTACATTTCTGTGTATTGTCCATTAATAGATAGGTTTGTCTAAGTTGGTAGTAACACAATATGTCTAAAGATTTTTTGTTGATCGTAACTGTTCATGTTTATAAATGAGACGACACGTGCCGCAAATAGCTATTTCTTTTTTCTTGTTTCTGTATTTTTTCTATAGAATTTTCAAACTATTAGTAGTATATTGCTATATTTTAAAATAGTATACAACACATTATTTAACGTAACTCTACTGGACGAACCTCGTCTCTGATAGTGAGAAAAAAGAAAACTATATGGAAAAACAAAAATTATTTTACACAAAAAATTGATCATGTCTACAATATCACATAAAAAACATACATTTACTGCAATCCCAAGATGTAGTCAATAACGACAGTCGTTTCTTAGTTAAGATACTGACAAAAGTTTTGCTCGGACGACGAAAAACCTGTCTTTATCCGTAAGAAGAGACGCATTTGAACAATAATCATATGGGTACAGCATAGACGTTTCGTGATGACAATAGTCAGAGATGATAGAGGAGTTAGTTTTAAGTATAATAGAAATGAGATTGTTTCAGTGCACAATTACACATCTGTGTATTCATTGCGTTTAGTTGCATTTGTTTACTTTATAAATATTTAAACTCGACTGATGGTGACGTCGAATATGAGCATTAATAACGTAAGGGAAGTTAGCAGCAGATTTCTATATTTTGGCCTAACGTTTTTTACTAAAGCTGTGCCATCTCTGGAAATAAGTGTGCCAGATAGAACTCGATGAGCTCTATCGATTCGTGAAGTCAGTTTTCCTGAATTTTGTTTGCTTTAAATATGAGTTATCGGTCAAAAAGTGAAAATTTGAGCATGCGATAAGAACTCTGTTCTTTGGAACAGTTGAAGTTAAGAGCTTGCTCTGTCGGAGACTTTTAAGGGAAAAGTTGGGCTAGGTTTGCTGCGAGTATAAGAGAGGAAAGAAACACTATTTTGTTTAGGCTCTTTTTTGACATCATTTTCTCGAGATTTCTTTGAATCTTAGAAGCGTTATCCGTGTGTGAACGACTCGGAAATATTGAAAGTGTGGGCGAAATCGCTCTTGAAAACGTTTTATCATAAGATTGGACTTAACGACAGTTAGGCGTTCGGGAAGAGAATTCAAAGTAACCGATCTCCAATGGTTTCTAAAACAGAAAATTTTAGACACCTATGCACTTATGACGTTATATCTGTATAACTATAAGCGACGAGCTAGAGACTGAAGGGATAATTATACTCAAACTTATTACGTATTCCGTCCTCACCCATGCCATTATCTGTCCTAGTCTACTATTATCTGCACTAATACCAGTACTGGATGCGCCCAATGATCAACATCATCGTTTAGTTCAAGGTGATTTTTCGGTTAAAGCATTTCAATTTAGAGATTCAATCTGAATATTAAAATGTTATGAAATGTTAGGTAATCAATAATATCTCTACCCAAACATTGTATGATGAAAGTAATAATAACGAGATTATAGCGAAAGAAAAGGAAAGGAAAAGTAAAAAGTTTGCTTAGAACAAAAATTTGTGAAAATTTTTCAATTTGATGTTTAGTGGAAAACATTCGTCTGGCACAGGGCATATAATACTAAAAGCCAGTTCAGCTTTGACACCTCTGAGCTCCTAGAGCTCTGTTGAAGTGACATTTGCCATAATCCTGAAGTCCCATAGACGAACGTTTTTGTTAACTATTCGTGTTACTTGGTGAAAACATGAACAGTGAATTTAGTTTTGCAGCCTACTGCAGAGCTAACGAGGGAACCTCTGGAGGTTATAAATCGCTGTTGAACTCTAACTACTTTTATCTTGTAGATCTTAGTGAGTAGTGAAATACCCTAAGTTGGTTTGTGCATACGGTACTTTGTTGTTGAGATACTGGATTTCTGGTCAGTTTTTGCCTATGGAGCTTGAATTTTGAGCAAAATCCGACTTTTAACTTTTAATTGCAAACTTGCCAACTAAAATAGACCGACGAAAGTGATACAGAAATTTTTTTCGATATTTCACTAAAATGAACTCAAATTAAGTACATATGTGAAAATCTCTCAAGAGTCAACAATAAATACTTTTCATAGTTTTTCTGTTGATTCCTAAATACATATCTAGCATTTAGATTTCATCGTTTAGTTTCAGGAGTCGTCTTACTTATATCTTCAGTTACGTTAAACGTAATATCCTCAGTTCAGTTAAAAAACGGTAGGCCAAAATACAAAATTTTCAGCCTTCCTCTCGTTCAGAAAATCAGTATTTTGCATTTTATACACGAACTCGACAATATTTTGGAAAACTGATTTCACCAATCCATAGAGCTCATCTAGTTCAATCTGGCACACTTATTTCCAGAGATGGCACAGCTTCAATAAAAAAACGTTAGTCCAAAATATAGAAATCTGCTGCTAACTTCCCTTACGTGCATTAATAACCCATTAGAACTTTTAAATACTTTCGAATTAATACAAACTAATTTCGAGATTCAAAGGAATTTGAACAAATTTGAAAGAAAACTCGTTCATATTAATTTAAAAAACTTTTTGGAGTTCAAAATTAATGCGCATCAATTTAAATCTTTGAATAAATATAAAAAAAATCAAAAACCATACTTTAAATTAATTTAAAAATACTGAAATTAATGTTAGTTGATTTTTTTGTGAAAAAATTAATTTCCCTCGTTACCGCATTACACAAAGTCTCATTTTAAATTAATGTACACGAATTTCGAGCTTCGAATTAGTGTACATTAATTCGAAAACTCTACACTAATTTGAATTAACGTTTTTCCAAATTCCTTTAACTCAATTTAGTAATAAATCGATTTGCACTAATCTGAAAGAAATTAATTCAAAACAATTTTCAATTTAAAATTAATCTGAGTTCATTGTTACAGATATTATCGTTGTTAATCTCCTACCGAATTAATTTAAACGAATTTGTGATTTTAGAATGGTATAAATTGATTTGGAAAAGCATTAATTTACAATACTTTTAATTTAAAAATTCGTTGCAACTAATTTAAATTCAAACCAATTTAAATCAATTTACATGAGAATTAGTTCACATTAATTTTAGGTTAAAAATTAATTTAAACTAATTTGAGACTAAATTAGTTCAAATAGTTGGTGAAGATTTCAATATCTTTTTTCAAAAGAGAAAACACTCAAAGTCCCCATAGTATATCTGATATAGTTAGAGGCTAAGTTTCCCAAAGCAACTTTTTGCGCGGAAACCAATGGCAGTCTCAGAAATTCTCATTCATAATTTAGGTACAAAATATCTATCAGATTAATTTTTAATTTGAAATTAATTTCAGCAAATGTTTTCTACATCAATTTGAACGAATTAGTTATTCCAAATTGATTTAAATTAATTTACAAACAGAAATTAATAGAAATTCATTTTGTTTACAACATTGCAAAGAAATTTGAGTCTGTAAATTAATTTACATTGATTTCCAGTAGCAAATTAATGTACATTATTTTTCTTTGAACCAATGTAAATAGATTTGTTGATCGAAATTAATTTAAATTAATTTTCAATCAAAAATTCGTGCGAACCGATTTAACGAAAAATAATATGCATCAATTTGGTATTGAAAGTGTTAATTAATTTATAGACTTAAATTTCTTTGCAGTGTTGTAAACAAAATGAATTTCTATTAATTTCTGTTTGTAAATTAATTTAAATCAATTTGGAATAACTAATTCCTTCAGATTGATTTAGAAAACATTTGCTGAAATTAATTTCAAATTAAAAATTAATCTGAAAGACTTTTTGTACCTAAATTATGAATGAGAATTTCTGAGACTGCCATTGGATTCCGCGCAAAAAGTTGCTTTGGGAAACTTAGCCTCTAACTATATCAGATATACTATGGGGACTTCTTTAGAAAATCACTATAGCTATTTAATTTTGCGGCCGGAAAACGTTCACTTTCCGGTCTGATGAGTCGACAGAAAACAACAATGAATATTTTTAACTTTTTTTATCTAGAAATATACTGGAGAGAGCGGAGAATATTTTGGTGCAAACCGCTTGTTAAAAGCTGTTTTTGTTACCCAGTTACGATCAAAAGAAAAAGAGGATAGGGATGTACGGAAACGTTTTGCCGCCACTGTATATATTATCGACCGTTTCAAAGATTTTCATACCTTACAGAAGATTTAACGTTACCTCCTATAAATCTGTAAAATTGGATAAAAAATAAATAGCTATAGTGATTTTCTCAAGAGCTTTTTTCTCTCTCTTATGTCGGTAGCCAAAGGGTTAATTAACATAACTGTCGAGCATTCAGAAAGCTTGCTGAAATCCGTACCAAATATGATTGTGAAGACAAAAGAATTAGTACAACCGAAAGAAAACAAAGAACAGTAACAACGACCTTTTAGAAATTTTTATGCTACTGATGAAGACGTTGGTAAACGTGGAAACGTTTAGCTGTTGAAGAATAATTGTAGGACTAAGAGTATATTTTAGATTAAAAATTCCATTTTATTATTGACAATTTGTGCTGTATTCGTATTGAAATAATCCCATAAATCTAAAACGAATTTAGAACCGATGAGTCACTAAGAATCTGAACATAATATTGTCAAATTTTGAAAAAATTCATTCGGAGCCTTAGCCTGTGATCTGCGCACATTGTACTTTTCCGATGGAAAGAAAGAGAAAAGTACATTTTGGAAGGATGGAAAGACTGAGAGCGATGTATTAAGTTGTTAGTGTGATTGAAATAGATAGATATTAAACCAGTCAACGTTTTGTATCGAGAGAAAAAATAAGAAGGAAAAATGAAAGAAGAATAACTGATATAGACAGAACTGCTTCTCTTTTCTGTCGATTTATTCGTTTCATTAACAGTTCACATCAAAATATAGCTAATTATATTTTTGCCTATACAGAGCACTGTATGTCTATAAAAATATTGTTAGTTGTGTATATTAGTTGACTGGATGCACGATTGTCGTACTAGCTATAAGATGTATATTTTTATTTATCGAAAACTCAGTTCATCGATCGAAAAAGCTTTACTCGTGTAAGCACTTTCAAGTGTTATTAAAAGTGAAGGACTATCTATTGAGATTGAATCGGGACATCGAGAGAACCTCAGTCGTGTTTCATTTTTTGTAGCATTCAAATTATGGAAATGTTCACCAACATGATTGAGGATCTTCCAATTGAGTTGTTGATTGTCATATTTGGTTTTCTTGATCTCGATGATCTTTATCATGCATTCTTCAATTTAAACTCACGATTGAATTATCTGTTAGATAATTTATCATGGAATATTAATTTAAATCATATTAGATATTAGATCGAAAACAACGTTTTACCGTTATTGCAATTATATGAAGCTACATCGGGAACAAGTTATTTCGCTGAAGTTGGCGAATGCATTTTGTTTCCATGATCAAATTCAGTTGTTTAGTTTGAAGTTTGATTCGACTCTTACAGCATTTGCATATCTTCGTTCACTATCAGTCTATAACATTAAACTAGCTGACTTACAAAGTATTTGTTGTTCGTTTTCAAATTTGAAATGTTTGATTGATTTGAAGATTCAGTTTCATGATGAAAAAGAAGCTACTTATGTCTATTGTGCAGTGGTGTTGTCGAATGCTCCGACATCGTTAAGGAAATGTGTATTATCTAACCGCGGTTGTTTAGGGGTTTCGCTAGAGAAACTTGAAACATCAAATAATATTGAAGAGTTATGGATGAATGATTGCACTATAGCTGATGTCTTAAGATTATTAAAATATAGTACAAATTTGAACAAGTTAACGATTGGATTTAGACCAGATGATGTGATTACACCATCAACGAACACTTATATTCCATCACCAAAGTTAACGTATTTGAAAATGAACATTCGCAGAGATATTCACTTTGGACAAGTTGAATCATTGTTAAAATTATGTGGTATAAATCTCAAAGAATTTTATTTTCATGCTGATGATTTGCTTAGGAATGATTTTACTTATACGGATGTTGTCGCATAGAAAAAATTAATTCATACCTATTTACCAGTATTAGAAATATTTCAATTTAAAATTATTGTATTAAATACGTTTTTAGAACACACATCATTAGATACTTTATTTCTAGACTTTAACAAATGGATGCAACAGAAATTTATTCGTTACTTTCCTGTTATATGTGATTACGAACCAAGTTCACATCGTTTATCACTTTATACTCAACCGTTTTGTTATTACTGGCATTCAACTGCATTGTACAATTTGATATCATCTTTCTCCGGCTCCAATGGGACTATTGTGTATGATCAAGTTAAATTTTTGAATATACATAATGAATCAAAAGAAAATGTCGAAGGTAGTGTGTATTTAGTTTTAGCAGAGGTCAGAGTGAATCAGATTCGACTTATTTGTCATCAATGTGAGTTGATCAAAATCTAACGTTAAGCTTTCTCGACCTGGTATTTTAAATACATCACAGTAGAGTCCGGTAGACGAAAATACTTTTCGCTCATACAGATGGGAGATCTATAATAATCTTCAACCCGAATTTTCAGCTTTCAGAAGAAGAAGCAGAAGAACATATTCACCATTAAATTACGATGGACTACAAATAAGAAAGAGATGGGATGATGATTAACTTTTGATGCTATACATGATGAACTGGCTCAAGTTGTTCCGACAAGGAGTTCTATAGAACGAATCTGTGAAGTATCTGCCTTTGCAAGCACTGTGAGCAAGAGAGTCGAGTGAGATAACTTGTGGTGCTAGTCTCTTGAATTCCCTCTTATAAGATATTTCCATACACGATACATGTTTTACCTTTCTTTCATCTAGGACAACAAGAACCAATCAATCGTCAATATTCCAATGTAAAAGTACTTAGTTTACAGCTCAACAGTAGATTATTACTGACTCATGTGGATAAAATTATTCAATTTAAAAAGTTAAAGAAACTTATTTTATACACCCCTTTGTCCAGTCTATTATTACAAGATTGTATTAGTTTCGATCAGCTTCAACTCATATTAGAGCAGTCATCGAATTTAAATGCAATCCAGTTACCATTAAAATACTTGATTGTCTTACTGCACAACGTACCATCATCGCTACATGTATTATTGCAACAAAAAGTCAAATTATTAGAAATTCAAGACGAGTGGTCAATAGAGAACGAGAAAGATTATTTGTTAGTTGAAAAATTAGCAAATGTATTTCTAAACGTTGAATAAATGGAATTTCGCTCAAATAATAATAACACTACACAACAATTATTGAAAGTAGTTAAAATGATTTTACAACATATGACTTCTTTAAGAAAGTTATACATCCTGTCGTATGATGCAGTAATGACACATTCACATTTTTATTTACATAGCCCAATTATTATTTGGTTGAAGCAACAAAGTAACATGTATATTGAATATGCAAGCACATTATTGGATATTTAGATTATTCATCAAAACTGAGAAGTAGGTATTTCGATTAGGGGGGAAGGAGGGGAAATCCTCTACCTTGTTTGATTATGAATTACTCAGTTCCAAAAAAACTTTGCTCTCTCCTAAAATTTTTTGACGTTTTTTCTTTTGTTTTTGAGTGAAAAGTTACTCAATAAAACATTCCCTCCCTTTGCCAAAGTTATATCGAAAACACTACTCAGAAGAAACGTTCACCTTCATTTCTGGCACAACTTTAAAAATGTATATCAGCCCAGCGAAATCAAGGATAATCGGCAGATGTCTGATTATGAAGATAATTGTTGTTCTGCTGTTTTTGAACAGTAAAGAGAAACTGTCAGCGCGTCTGCTTTTCCAGAACATCTATACATAGGATACAAGAGATTGCAATATTTATATATTAAACATAATATCTCTTCTCCTCCTTTACGGCTCATCAACTAAGAATCAGACACATAGCTTCGAAGCTTTAATCTTAGTACTATCTTTTCAAGTGGTACGGGCACTCCGTTAGCTATGGTTCGATAGAGCATGTCGAATTGAGTAAGAAAATGTATCTTTTACCCTATGAAAACCCCTTTAAGGATGAAAATTTAGAAAACTGAAACTTTTAAAATCGTGAGAAATGATCTAAATTTGAAAAACAAGCGAAAATCTCGATTGTATTGCCCTCCGATAATATTAAAAAAATAAATATTAATGGTACTAATCGTTGTGCATCGTTTTAGGTATTTCTAGGCGATATTTATAAAGAAGAGAAAAAGGAGCCACAGTCTATAAAAGTATGTTTAAATTGCTTAGATCATTTTCCTTGTTTTGTATATTTTTTTGTTTTTCTGCTACCAATGTTAGTCATATGTTTCTGTATAAGATAAGAAAGAAAAGAAAACTACAATCTGAATCATATGTTTTAATCGTTATTTTCATTTGTATATGAACAAAAAGATGCAGCAGAATTTTCAGATACAGACTTTAACTGTCGTTCGCTTCTGCACAACTTTCTTGTTAACTTGTAAATTACCAAAATTTTCTGTACTAATAATGAGTTATTACTGATCTCAGAACTGAAATGATATGTTTTTCAAAAAATTAGTATACAAGCTGCTAGAAGTACTATTCACACCTTTACTGTAAAAATCATGCCGTTAAGGTATGAACAGATTTATTGTTTTAACGCCTAGGTTAAACTACTACTTGTCAAGAAACGAAATGTTCTTTTGCTTTATTCTGTTAGTGTAAATAAAAAATACATTGATACACAAAAAAAGAAATAAAAAAAAATTTTTTATGCACGTGCTCCATTGTTCCGTGCGCCACAATTTTCTTGTTGATTCAAACACGGGCAGGTACCTTTTGTTTCTACCATTCGACCACAACGGGCACAGGGGCTCTGAAGGATAAAAGACCCAAAATAAAGCTTTTCGCAAAATGTGTATCTAATATTTGGTTTAAGCTCTTTTATTGGAAAAGGAAAAGAGTAGCATGATAACCAAAATCTTAGGCATAATATCTTCATTCGAAGTTAAATTCAACTAAATATGAACTTAGGTGTTTACAGATAGTAACGTGGCTGATCGGAGTATTATCTAGCATTAATGGAGCCAGAATAAAACTCTTTGACGACGCATCTTTAGAGAAAGTTTCAAATTCACATTGATCTAGTTGAATATATCATTCAAGTTTTATACCACTGAGAGGCTATCCCAAGATTGGAGTTTAATCCTTTTATGGAGATTTTGCTAGAGTTACTATCATCAAAAAATGTAGCGTCATCAACATCCTACTTTATTTCCTTCCTTTTAACCGGAGTTTATAAATAAAAACCAGATGACTAACACAATCAAACGCTCTTGCAAGCTAAATAGATTGCGCTGACGTATTTTGATTATTCAAGAGCTTCATTAATGCAGTGAAGCACTGTTAGTAACTGGTTTACACACGACTTTTTCTTGATGAATTCTGACTCATGAATTAAAAACTGTAAATAATATATTTAAATATTTACCGCAGGACAACATTTCGGCTTCACCAGGCGTTTCATACTGCTGCCCACAAATACAAACTAGAAAATCAAAATACGTCAGCGCAATCTATTTAGCTTGCAAGAGTGTTTGATTGTGTTAGTCATCTGGCTTTTATTTATAAATTCCGGTTAAAACTTTTATTGTTATCTTTTATTGTTGCCTTTCATTGTTACCCAATCTCATCCATGTGTTCTTCAGCTATTTCTCCGAGTAAATTGGTAAAATCTGAAACGAATTTGTACCTGGTTATGGGCTCGTTAATTAATAATCGTATAGACTATATATTTTTTGTAGCCGTTGCACGGTTGTGGGACAATAACAGCGAGTGATTGGTTTCTTTATTTTATTAACCTGACTGGTTTCGAATTCTTCTTCAGAGGTTAACAATAAACTGTATGAAATTAAAAGGAAGGTCTCTTCTTTTATATATACAAAAAAATATTTTTATACGTCGATATAAACTAGATAAAAAATGATGTAATTGAATGGAATGTCTTTCGATGTTCTGGTGAATGATCGTTCTGCACATGATAGAATGTA